TCAGAAGCACTGTGCCATTTATTATTTTATTAGAATCCAGAAAGGACTGTCCTTTGTCCTGTTTTATAGCTCTCTAATTCTGGCTTCACTTGCCAAGCTTAGCTGAGAAATAGAAACATTTCTTTCATCTGCGGGGGTTTCTGACCTTCACATCTCTACAAGCTATCTCCCGCGGTAATATTGTTTGCCATGTCTGCGGTGCTGTGGAGACACTATGCAAACTTGGAGAGCTAACCTGTCCAACCCCAACGCTGCCTGTCAGCGCTTGTCTATGATCACCTAGCTGGCATGGCTGCGGCACAGGTACGCACGGGCCTACCGGCATCTGTCAGTGTCACACCAAGCCATCAATCCACATCTCTGCCCCTGTCATTCCTGACAGGGCTCCACCAGCCACAACCAGTCAGCCAGCTGCACACAAATATGTCAGTTTAGCTTAGCATGCCACAGTAATAGACACTTGAATGTGGAAAATGTGTTTTGGTAAAAACAGATGAGAAGAAATGCTTATTTTTCTTTCAGGAAATAAGGAAAACAGATAGAAGGACACACTTTGATGAGGGCAAGTCATCTTTAGCCTCTAAGAATAGCTGAATATTCGTTTGAGGATTTTGATTCAAATGTTACACTGGAATCAACTTAAATCCGAATGAAACAGTTACTCCATATTACGCTCATGGTATGCAGATCACACTGAAATGAGCAAGGGGAATATCAAGAAATTAAAAAGTCAAAGCTAATACTAGCTTATTTTGCTGGTTTTTGGCAAAATGATTTCTTTTTTTCATGAGAAGCCCATACCAGTTCAGCCTCAAAGTGTGAAAGGTTGACAAGAAGGATGCATAAATAGAAGCTGCAGGCCCATCATTGTCAACATGCCAACAGCTCTCTGCAGAGAATCATAGAGACGTGGAGACCTCATCCTAGCAGGTCTTGCTGAGCGGGAAAGAAATGCTTTGACGACTATCAGCTCTCCTCCTCTCCGCCTTTAGAGCGGAGGACATGCATTGGGAAATACATTTATAAGAAAAAGATATTGTGAAAAATCTCACAGATTAACTGACAAAAAATATTTCACCGGCTGAAAGCAGGTTCATGAATTTATACATGTCGTTCATGTTTCTTTCTCTCTTGGAGTAGTTTAAGATTATTTGTGTTAATGTGCTCCGTCATTTTTTAAGATGGTCATAAAGTTTGAGGCGTACATAACATCCATCTGTTGTCTTAGTAAAGATAACCACATTTAGGATGATAATAATGTGTGTTCAATTGTTTTTATTAGCCTTAGGGAGTAAACTATTATGTTACAAACTGCTTTTTTTCTCTCCATCATATTCCCACAGAGTGAGCCAGTGTATTGGTCTGCTGGTGTCTTCAAGCTGTTGCATAAGCCGATTGAAGCAGCCTAGTGGGCTCTAATTCATACAGTAAAAAATAATCACATTGCAGGTAAAACTTCATCATGAAAACAGCATCTGTGGAGCCTCTGCTTTTGTTTTTAAAGTTTTAAAAGTACCATTTTCAGCCGTTTAAATAATTCATTTAAAAAAAAGTTTGTTCTATAATAATTATTTTGATCCATTTGAGATGCAAGAAAAAGTGAATCTTTCATTTTATACAACACAAGTCCAGCTGGATTACATTTAATGTGTGTAGTCAAGTACGATGGCTGACAGTTGGTACAGCCATAAAATGTGTTGTAAAACTCACAGGCTACGACCAATATGCTGCTAAAGTTGATATTCCTCCGGTTGGCAATAAACATGTTTTTCAACGGTTCATATGGTGAAGGGGACTGTAACACAAGCTTCAACAACTGTTCACATACCAACAAGCATACTGTATAAAGTAGGTCTGAAGAAAGAAAAAAAACGACAAGACAAAGTTCTTCACCCCTTCTTTTTGGTACCTGGGAGAAATGCCTGGACTAAAGAAAATGTTCAAATAACTTTGTTTTTTCCTGGGTGTTTGTTTATTCCTATGCGCCTTATGTCACTATGCATTGTGCTCAAAGCAGCATGTGCGCTTTCCGGCTCTGTTCAAAGCTTAGTGGATTTGACTGGGGAACACAGTTGACATGTGGGTGCAGACACTTGCCCCAGACGGGGGCACTGACCCTGGTGAAGCCAGCCAAGCAGGAGGCCAGAGGGGCCTGCTACTCCTCACTAATGCCTTAGAGAAACAAAGTCCAGATGCTCTACCATGCGTTGGCTCTCGACGCACTCGGCATGCTGCCTGTGAGATTTTTTTATCGAGCTCTGCGATATCCTGCAGTGATGAACCATCTTCCTCTTGTTTCAGACAGAAGCATTAGTTTGGGTTTATTCTACAGTGTTCAACAATCATTTCCACTGAAGTTAAGTGATTTAGTAAATGCTGAACATCTGGTCAGTTCAAGAGAATATGGAAATCCACTTAGAGCAAATTAAAACAAATGGGGTGACCGGGTAATGATTTCATAAGCAATTTCCTACATTAGGATTTCTAATACTTCACAAGGAAAACACGTTAAGCTCTGCACTTGTCTCATCTATCAATCATGCTTGTTGAAGAACTGTGAGTGTCAGAACACTTGCAGAGGCACTAATCTCAACTTTTATCCACTGGGAAATGGGAGAGAGCTGTTTAAAAAAAAAAAAGAAAAAAATCTGTTTCCTAAAAGCATTTGTCTGTTTCTCCCCTCCCCCCTGTCGCCATCCCTGCAAAAGCTAAACGAATTAACTCTCATTAAATATGCATTTCATTGTTAATCATTTGCAAGCGGAGAGGATTAGGTTGCAATTTGTGGAATGACATAAAATCTATCCCTTCTCAAAAATAGCCTCTTGAAATTGCATTAAACACAATGGTATGGTCCATCAAAAAGTATTTTAGGTGATAAAACAAGTAAATCCATAAAACAGAAAAGATATTGACCTGTAGATAATTCTCATAATGCCACGGCCATATGCCTGCTCCATCTGCTCACGCTAATGGAATTGTAAACATAAAAATATACTTTATTAAGGTCAGCATGCCTTTTTACCATCCATTTTCCATCCATCCACCCATCCATCCATCCATCAATAGATATTTTGAATTCAAGATCTATTTCTGTGCTTGAAAAAGCCCTTCAACCTTTAAAATGCAAAATGAATGTGCAGAATGTAGGGGCATATTAAATGAATACTAAGTGGAATTAAAAAAACACCCATTGTGTTGTACACTCCATTATTTTCATCAACCCCCTCAGATAACACGGCCGATGCTTGGCATGAAATATTGATGCAAAAAGTCTCCTCCGATAACGAACTCCTCAAAGTATCTGAAGCACACATAGAATTTTAGAACAGAATGGGATAGAGGAGCCAAGACTCTCAAGCCAAGGCTGTCAACTAGAGAGGAGTGGAGACAGGGAAAAGAAAGATGTGCAACAAGAAAAACACTGAATATCCTGCTATGTGTGTTCCAAACAAACAGCTTAAAGAAAGAGAAACAGAGAGAGAAAACACAAGAGCTGAACACCAAGCTGCTGTAACCTTCAACCTGCTTCTGGCTCAAATTCATTTCCATTCACTGGAGTGCTCACTATTTGATTGTCCTTTCTCTGATTGCATTTCACACAGGGACAAGTTGGTACACAAAAAGGAACTATTCATGGTTTAATGAAAATGTGTAGTCAATGCAGGTAAGAAACTTGACATGAGGGGGAAAAGTAGACTGGGTTTAGCACATCCTGAATTTAAAAGTATGCATTTCATAACTGCCAAGGTCATTGTGATCGAAACAGTCCGTCGAGCGAGGTGTTGGTGTGGAGGACAATCCCCACTATCTCCAAGGCTGCAGGCAACGTTGCCCATGTCACCCTTATGTTTTATTCATGCAAGTCATATTATGACATTCAGAAACCCAGATCAAAATCTGCTCTGGCAGAAATATTTAATATCATACCTACTTCTCTCCCCTTCTCCATCTGGTTAGCCAGAATGAGAGAGGGGAGTAGACAGACTCCTGCAGCTCAGCTATGTTGGATTATTAAAAGTGAAGCTTTCAAAGAGGTCACTGCTCAGGAAAAAAAAAAAAAAAAAAGGGAAAGAAAAAAAACTGTAGCATGCATCAATTATCTTGGAGAGTTTGTGGCATACTGAAGACTGTCTTGTCACATTTCCCACAATGGCTGAGCTACAGAGGGGTCCTTGGCTGACGCTGACATTTAGAAGCTGGTGAATTGTAAAAAATCCCTGTCTGTTTGTCAAAAAAAAAAGTGGACAAAAGACCACACTGACTACTTGCAAAGCCCCTTCGGGCTTGAAATTCCTTCACAATGTCATTGGCATAACATGACACAGACACCCGGCACTGACGCTCTAATTTTTCATGTCTGAACAACTGCAACTTACACTAATCAATACCCGGTTTACTGGCAGGGCTGGAGGACAATAGAGATTCCAATGATTCGCAACAATAAATATAGAACGCTGATCGCAAACAGGCTCAGCCGGGGGAATAATAATTTAATGTCATATTGCTTGCACATGAAGAAGATAAAAGGATAACAACATCACTATCAAAATAGGATTGGAATAGAGCCGTATTCAACCATTTTCTTTTAAGTCACCTTATCTTACTAACCTTATTTTGACTTTCATCTTTCATGCCACTGTCTATGCTATCAAGGCTCAAAGTCGTTATCTAACTTTACCTTTCGACTTAATTCCAAAAACCTTCATAACAAATGCATCATGGGGAAAACACACTTAAAGAAGAATATTCTTTCCATGATTGGAATTGAAATGGCTATGGGAGTCATTTTAAGATGCATCCACAGCTGAAAAGGACGACTCCCCCCTACGCCTACATATTATCCTCTTCTATTAGAGTTAAAAACTGTGTGAAGAAGATTCAATGAAAACCCCTCTCTTCCGCCATCCTCCTCCTCCTCCCTTCCTCTTCCTCCTCATAACTCCCCCACCTGCACCAACACCTCTGTCCCTGAGGTGGCACGGCGAGGAGTGGCATACCTTTGTTCATGTCAATCAGCTGCTTCTTCTTCTGTTGGCGCTCCAGCTTCTCCCGCTCAGCTTTCTCCTTCGCCAGCTTGGCTCTCTTGATCTTCTCCTCCATCTCCCTCTTCTTGTGGTTCTCCTTCACTGCTTCCTGATGAGGCACACACACACAGACACACACATAAAGATAAAATCAGAATTTGGCGTCTGCCACCGTTTCTCTTGTAGTGCCTTCACTACTGTATAGTGTTCAAAAGCAGCAGCATGCCATCAGCACATTCTCATTCAGAGAGGGGTTTGATAGTTAGAGATAAGCTCCTGGAATAAACAATATATCATGGCTTGTGAATGAGCTTTTTTTAATACAAGCCTTCATGTCTGTAGGGTGTCTGCACTGCTTTACATATTTTCAATAACACAGAGCTGATTTCTTGTCAATAATACATCAATATCACACTTCATGCAGGGGGCCGAAAAAGCTATAATCATCACACTTTGCGATGCAAGTATATTTCCTTTGCCACTGCATGAGGTGAGACATGTAGAGGCAGTGTGCCCGTCTCAGAGGAGGAAGACAGAGATATCATCCTCCTCCTCCTCCTTCGTGACTGGCTGAAATGTCAGGAAGGAGTCAGAGAAAGAGAGATAATCAACGGTACGGATTCAGCCTTTACAAATGTGTCAGTTTGTTCTTGTGCCAATATAGAGTAAGATGCAACTGTGTGACCTTTGGAGACAACAAAATGTTCTTTCATCGCAGGCCTGTGGTGCAGCCCTTGACAGGACCCGTCATAGGTGTTACTGTTTGTGTGTGAGAGGTCTTATTGTGCGTGTGTGTAGATGCATATGAGCCCCCATGCATGGGCATCTTTGTTCTCCTGCTCATCTGTGGTGTTCCACCTTTTATGAGTGCATATGTGTGTGTGTGTGTGTGTGTGTGTGTCAGTAAGTGAAGGCATGGCCTTCTTTGCGCACTGATGTAATAAGTGATGACAGTCCCCCACCCCCCCCCCCCCCCCCGTCCCACCCCTGTCTAATGCCCCTGTGGTCCTAATGTGTGTGTGTGTGTGTGTGTGAGCGTGTGCGTGTGCGTGAGCGTGTGCGTGTCTGTGAGCGTGTGCGTGTGTGTGTCTATGTGTTGGCAGCTAAGACAGAGGGATTACAGGGATTGTAAGGAAGGAACAAGGAAAGAGCAGCTCATCATGCCAGTCAATAGTAGAGCTTTGCTCCATGTCCAAGGACACAAGCCCTCATTGTCACTGTCTCCTCGTTGGATGACAAGGGCAGTGAGAGGACAGAAAAAGGAGAGAGAAAGGGAAAGAGAGAGAGAGGCGGGGATGAGGGTAATAAAAAGTTGGTATAAAAATAAAAATAATCAAATACACAAAATATATGTTTATATTATACGCATATGCTTTTTGCTTTGTTTATATTGTCACAGCCCGACCCTGTGATTGACTGGCGGATAGTCCATGGTGTACCCCGCCTCTCGCCCAATGGCAGCTGGGCTCAGCTCCAGCCATTACTGAAAAAGCGGGAGGAGTGTACTAATTATCAAAGTAATGTATCTACAAAAAAACAAATGATCAAAACTAACAATACCATGTAGGTTGGAAGAATCTGTAAAGTCATTTGTTTAAAGTGCGGTTGACTGGAAGTGTGTGTTGTAAAACCAAATCCAAAGAAACCAAAATCAAAAGCAAATACGTGTGGCCTTTCTCGAGGTCTGCTGCTGCCCTTGATTTAAGCATGAGCCACACCGGGCCCAGGTGTGTTTATTAGTCTGCTCATCAACCTGCAACCCTTGAGACGAAGAGACAGCACCAGTAAAATGTGTAATGAAGAGTGTCCGTCTTGTAACTCCAATTTTTCTGCTTTGTTACGTTCTTCTGTCTACGATCTGGCAAAAGGTATATTAAAAAATATGTTTTATGTGGGCTTTTGTGTCATGTGCACTATAAAAAACACAAGAACAGATGTACGCCATTGTAAACTAAAAACAAACAAACAGCCTACAGTATATATGATAAGCACTTAGACGATAAAGCTCCACTGCATAAAGGCTATTAAATGTGTGCACTTTGCTGATGTATGCTTTGAATTACAGAGGATGAGAGCTGTGCAGCATATTCAGTCACTAAAGAGTTAACTTGTCCGTCCTGTTTAGGTGATGGGCAGCACTGGCAGAACAAATCAAATTGATTTCTGTCCTCTCCCGCTGACAGGACTCAATTCATTTTGGGAGTAATATCACTGCACTGCTCCACGTCTTCAGCATAAGTTATAAGATCAATTATGCAGATTACAAATAAAATCCTGCCGGCAAAACTTATTTTAAACAAACAACTAATTCAGACTGTAAACATGATTATGCAATGTAATTATGTAGCTCTAATTACACAGCAACAGTAATTACCATAGCAACAAATATGTTTGACGGCTCGCTTTTTTCTTTTAAGGTCTCTCTTTCGACGGTCCCTGTTTTGCTGTTGGCAGCAACTGATTGTATCAAACTCATTTTCATGCCCGCTTTGTCTTTTGTAGAAGGACATAAAAAAACACAAGCTAGGTTTCAAAACTAATCTTCAGGGCAGGCGACGTGATTTATATCTCACCAGAACATGAGACAAAAGATGTTTCCCTTGAATCAAAAATGTTCTGTACAATAGATACAGTATAATTTCAGGTGACCATGGAAACCAGTTATGTCTGGCTCCCAGTCATCTGTCCTGTGGTGAGGATCACTATAGTTATAGTACCACCACCCAATGTGAGCTTAATTAATATTATCAATTATATATAATCGTCAATAAGGCTGATCTTCTATTTTAGCTTCACGGTGAATAAATGTATCAAAGACATTATAGCCCATTGACAGGGACACTGGCAGGTCAAGCAGGGCCTGTAGTGGAAAAACACATGTTTTTTAATGGAACTTAAAACAATTGAAATGTTAAGTCAAGTTATGTTTTTAGTTGTTTGAGTATGAAGGTGTATTCATGACTCTTAAGGGTCACTTAAACAAGCATTTCTAACAATTTAAACCACATCTCATGGCCTTCTGTTGGAAGAGGAGCTTGCTCTGATTTCATATATTCAAAACTTTAGGCACACGTTTAGAGGTTGTTGTAATATTAAAGTTGATAAGTAAATAAGGACGTTTGTACCAGAGATTTTCTTCCCCCACAAAGAAGAACTAATCTTGGGAAGAAAACTTAATGAGCCCCATTTTTTTGTTTTTTTTGTTTGACCCATGGCAGCCAACTGCTTAAATACACTAAGGCTCAATGAGGAGGATTTTGTTTGCAAACTATAAAGTGCAAAAAATAATGTAGAAACTAAAAGGGATCTCTAAGAGTCCAGACGTCAAAGGTCAATAATGTAGGTTTATATGATGTGCACTCTGCAAGCACAACCATTATACAAACTGGGAATATTTCCAAAATCATAAGAAATCAATCTGGTTAACACATTTTTTAAATTCCCAAGTTCAATCCAAAAGTGATCTTAAGTTTAATGGTTTTTTTCTTGGCTCATGCAACACCTTTCCACCATGTCAAAGAAAAATCCAGTCAGTCGGTTCTCTTTGATCCTGCTGACCAACAAACACCGAAAAACAAAACCTCCTGGGCAAGGGTTAATATAAAAAAGAATCTAGGCATGGTCACATAGCATAAAAAAAAAGGTCCAAAGATTTGACCCCCCCTGGGATTATCTCGCATTATAGGCATTACCTGTTGAGGCCCTGACTCTACCTAAAAACCCTTAGGTGAAAAAACTGAGGAACCTTGCAGCCCAAAGTCCATGTTTATAGCTAGCAACGAGCCCTGATCCCCTCTGGTAGAAACCTGGGAAATGCAGTGCAGATACTGGATACAGGTTACTCAGGGCATTATGTAAACTCAAAGTTAGAACCTAGATAAAGACAAAGAAAATGTTTTTTGCATAAAGCACTTAAATGCCAGCTGGGCTTGTCAACAACACTATTGATGCTGCATAATATCCCTTAAAGCTAATAGAAGCCACAAGACAGAATGAGTGCATGTCACACTTCTGGCCTTTGGAGTGTCTAAGATGTAGATTATAAGTACTCCTGTGGCTCTGCCTGGCTGGAAAATGGAATGCTGTGCAACCAGGTTCAATCTACGCGATCTAAGAGCCATGCAGTCTTCTCCCCTTTTCCAGGTCTGTTCTTTCAATAATTCATGAAATGTGTTTGCTGTTCTTCCTTGACCCTGCACAGCACAATACATCTCCCACAGCACGTCTCACCACCCTTGCATACAAGTTTGCCAGTCCGATGAGGGGGGCAATGAGTATTTCCAACTGCTCCGTCGCACCAGTGATCTCACACAGAGAGCGTCACTGCCACATCTCATTTGAATTTTACAAACACTACAGCGCCTGGGCTTTAAGCAGCAAATGTGTTTATTAGCCATCTGTTACACTGTTTGCTAGGATTGCGAGGTTACAGATTGTGAGTCTTCTGCTCTGTGGTATAGATGCATTCCCATATTGATAGGTCATTTTTTAAATCTGTCGCTCTGATGTTATGCCTGTGTCACCCTTGTGTAAAGTGAAAACACTGAGGGAATCCTGGAAGAATTCAGCTATCGCGGTTGCGCAGAGTGGCACTGTCAGATCTTCATCAGCTTTATCAGCCTGATCATGATAATTATTGTCATATTGTGAAGGAATTAGCAAACTCTCAAAATATCAAATGGGCTGAAAAGTGGACTTATGCACCCCCCCCCCCACACACACACACACAAACCAATCATTATTTGAATCTCTTAGATGCTCTATCTTGTTACTTTCAGACCCGGTCTGCGTCTTTTGGTCTTATTGGAAAGTCACTCAATTAACAAGGAAGACTGTTAGCTCATCCCAGCCCATCTGCTGCGCTTTGATTACTCATTAATGGAAAAGAAATCCTCATCCCCAATGCTCCTGGTCAGGATTACAAACACAGAGCCTGCGATTGCATTTCACTCATACTCTATTTCAGAATATGGCAGCAGCATTAAATTAACAAATTGTTGGACTCTTCCAATACTGACTCCATGTGCTGAAATCAAATAATATTTCATTGGCCACGGGAAAAGAAAAGGAGAATGGGACGGGGGAGAGAGAAAGAGAATGAAACAGAAG